CTGAGTGGCATTTTATTGACGGTGACAGGACCTAGGGACCAGAGTTGTGGGGAAGGCAGATGAGCTGCTGACCATCAGGTCTGTCCCCTGGTCCGGAGGACTGGCATTGTCTGCTCCCTGTCATTACAGTCCCAGGGGAGCCATCACCTGGGCACGGGGGCCTCTGAACTGCAGGTGAGCGGAAGGGCGCGTTTGAAGGCTGCAAGCAGGTCTTTTTAGGGCCCCCCCAGCCTCCAGGTCCCCAGCTGCCAAGGGGAGCTGTGCTAGTGTTATCGTGGCTGCCAGCCTGCGTTTTCCTCAGAAGTGAGGGCTACAGGTGGAGGCCACAGCCCCAGGCTGGTCCTCAAAGGCTTGTTGTAGCCCTGGAGACTGTGAGGACAGGAGGGGACAGCTGTCACACTGGGCGAGGAGGAGCACGCTGACCTCGAATCTGGAGCCCAGGGAGCCTAGAAATCGGTGGTAGTGCTGGGCCCTGCCGCCCTGTGATGGGGGTGACAGGGTGCCCCCAAAGTTCCCAGGGCTGGGAGACTCCCCAGGGGAGGGGCCCAGCAGCGCTGGGGAGGCTCCTGCTTGCCTGCCTGTCGGATCTCCGCGTTCCTGCCCTCGTGTGGTGCCCTAAGCACTGGAGAAGGCAGGTATCACAGTCCCGATTTACACGTGAGCATGCAGAGGCTTGGTCCCTGCCGAACAGTGTGGCTTTAAAAACTATGGGTAGAGCGTTTTTACCGTTTATCGTAATTTCAAAATCTAAATTTTCACAGTAGTGAAAGATAGAAAATAGGCTAAATATTCCCCAATAAGGAAATGATAAATACATTATTGATGAAATGATGCAGCTGCTGAAAGTAATGTTTTTGAAGACTGTTTAATGACATGAAGAATGGCTACAATATAAGAAGTGGGAACACGAAACCACGTGTCAGCAAAGCGACCTCAGTTTTCTTCACACTGATAAAAAGACATATGCTTAGACACGCGCGCGCAGGACAGACGGGAGGAAGGTACCGCCATACTAACCAAGGAGGGGCCTCGGGAGCTTTCTACTTCCCTTGTTCTTTTCTGCAAGTCCCAAACTTTCTGTAATGAACACTGATCATTTCTAAGAAAGATATTAAAATTTCTAAAGAGGAAAACCTAAGCTGTTTTCCATCTGCTCCATCTAGATGAATCATGTATTATTACTGATGCCATTTGACTGGTTTTGGTTTCAGAGTGGCCTGAGCATGGGGTGGCGGGTGGGGGAGATGGTGCAGGAAGAAGAGACAGCCCCCGAAGATGGAGGTGGGAGGGCTGAGCAGGGGTGGGGAATGATGCCGGCCACTTGCCTGTAGCTGTTCTAGGTACTTCAGTTTTTGCCTGAGGGGAGGAGGCCGTGTCGGGTGGGTGGGCAGAGAGCAGATGCCGGGGTCTGGTCAGGAGGCAGAGCCCGAAGTCCCTCATTCCCCATCTTAGTTGCTAATTGCCTCTGGTGCCCACTCCCAGACCTCTGCCGCCTGCCTTGGAATTGACCATATTGGCCAGGTTACAAAGCTGAAGGGTCTTTGAAATGGAAGTTGTATTTATTGTGTCAAGTTTGACCACCTTCCCTAATTTAAGGATTGGATCAGTGGATATCTCTCTCTCTAGAGAGCCCCCTTCTCAATCAGTGTTGAAACAAAACTAGCCCAGCTGAGAGTGAGGTGTTATTGGTGAGAGGTGTGTGTTGGTGTTGATGTGTGTTGGTGTGAGATGTATGTTGGTGTGAGTTGGTGCTGGTGTGAGATGTGTGTTGGTGTGAGGTATGTGTTGCTATGAGATGGTGTTGGTGAGGTGGTGACAGGTGTGTGTGAGGGGTGTGTTGGTGTGAGGTATGTGTGGTGTGTGTGTTTGTGTGAGATGGCTAGGTGGTGTGAGGTATGTGTTGGAGTGAGGTGTGTGTTGGTATGAGGTGTGAGGTGTGTGTTGGTGTGTGAGGTGTGAGGTGTGTTGGTGTGGAGTGTATTGGTATGAGGTGGTGGTGTGTTGGTGTGAGGTGGCATGAGGTGGTGTTGGTGTGAAGTGGTATGAGGTGTTGGCGAGAGGTGTGTGTGGGTGTGAGGTGATATTGGTGAGGTGATGGTGTGAGGTAGTGCTGGTGAGGCAGTGTGAGGTTTGTTGGTGTGTGGTTGATCTGAGGTGTGTGTTCGTGTGAAGTGATGTTAGATGTGAGGTGTGTTGGTAAGTGTTGGTGAGGTGGTGTGAGGTATGTGTTGGTGAGGTGTGTTGGTGGGGGGTGATGTTAGATGTGAGGTAGTGTTGGTGTGAGGTGGTATTGGTGAGGTGGTGTGAGGTGTGTATTGGTGAGGTGGTGTGAGGTATGTGTTGGTGAGGTGTGTTGGTGTGAGGTGATGTTAGATGTAAGGTGGTGTTGGGGTGAGGTGGTGTGAGGTATGTGTTGGTGAGAGGTGTGTTGGGGTGAGGTGATGTTAGATGTGACGTAGTGTTGGTGTGAGGTGGTATTGGTGAGGTGGTGTGAGGTGCGTGTTGGTGTGAGGTGCATGTTTGTCATGGAGGAGCGCTGGGCTGGGGATCAGAGGACTGACATTCCAGGCAGCTGTCCCTTTTGGAGAGGCCTTTGTCCCCATGTTGTAAGGTGGGTGTGGACACAAGCGGATGGAAAACTGGTCTGTCCCTGAGCGAGTAACAGCTTCTTACAAGTCAGCACATCCCTTGTAAGTGTAGAGTGCAGTGGGGAATGGGAGAGTGTTTCGCAGAGCTAAGTGGGATGGGAGGATGGTGCTGACTTTGGATGAGACAGATTACTTTTTCATGACCTTTTCTTGTAAATTAGCGTTGGTTACATTTTGAGACAAGGTTGTGTTTCCTTGCCTTTGCATAAATAGATCACTGTAGTTATTTAGCTGTTTGAAATGAGTGATTATAACCAGAGTTTACAAGATCCAGAGCAGTGATAATGTCGTTAAAACATGGCAGCCGATACAGCTCTGGGTAGTTTGACTATCCCCGGGCTGGCACGTCTGTTGGCTGTCAGTGCGTGTCTGACCTTCAGTCAGAATCAGTGATCGTAACTCACTGTAACCAGACAAACTGTCAAAGAAGAGCGCCCCCAAGCCGAGTGCGCGTGCCATGTGATTGAAACAAACTTCAGTTCTGTTCAAGGAGGGATGGGGCCGTTCGCTCAGCATCAGTTAGAGCCGTTCAGTCCAGCTTTGTTTAAAGCAGTCCCATGTTTCCCCGTCTCCAGCCACATCTGCCCTTTCCCTTGCTTACCCATTTGTAGCCCTGTTGGAGGTGTTTTTAATGCCTGAGAGGTTCGTTACTCCTGGTTAGCGTCACGTGGTTGCTTCTTGGCAGGACTTTTAATTCCTTCCCCAACTTTTGCTCTAACCCTTGGACACTTCTTTAGTTGAAAACCATTTCGCAATGAGCAGTGCCTGTTTCCTTGCGCTTTTGTGACGTCCACAGTAACACTGTAATTTCATTAGACCTTTAACCCGTTGCTGTCACGTGAATATTTGTTAGTTTAATATTTTGGTAGATTTCTGTAGATGTAGTTTTCTAAGCAAACAAGCTTCTGATAATTGAAGTGTGTCAGATGAAGGCGTTTGAAGTTGGGGTTTAGAGCCTTCTCTTTTTCATGCCGTCTGGATCCTCTTAACCCTGCACCCTGAGTGTTGGCTTCTTGGGATTCGTGAGGGGAAGGAGGAGAGGGGCCTCTGAGTGGATGTATGCATGTGACGAGCGAACGGTCAGCTCTGAGAAAGTAACATCAAGCGGCATTCCGTGTCCTTGTTTGGGGGTCCCCCCTGGATGGCTGACACGCAAACCCTGGCAGCCCCACCTCGCCTCGAGAGACTTTCTTGAGTGTTTGGTGCACGGACAGCCGTGGCGTTTAGAGAGAGGGGCTGGTCTCGGTGATGGAGTGGAATAAGGAGCCCTTGGGCTCCGGGGCCTGCAGAGTGACTGCTCCCAGCAGCTGGGCGTTGGAATAAGGAGCCCTCAGGACCTCAGAGTGACTGCTCCCAGCAGCCCGGCGTTGGAATAAGGAGCCCTCAGGACCTCAGAGTGCCTGCTCCCAGCAGCCGGGCATTGGGTTTTGTCTGTAGTCAGTGTGGTTTAATCGGGGAGGGTGTTATGGAGGGAAGCGCTCTGAATGGGCGCAAGTGTGGTTCTTGTGGAAGGAGAATTCAGACGTGAGCCCAGGAAGTGGCTTCACTTACTTCTTGGTGTCCTGACAGGTTTTGAAAGAGCCCAGAACTTAACGGCTTCAAAGACTCTTGTAAACCTTCTAAGATTGCTCCAACTCTTGTTCAGCTCCAGAGGAAAAAGAACCCAGTATGCATATACGACGCTGGCTAGCAAGAGGTCTCCCTTTTCCTTCTGGAGAGCGCGGCTTTCTGTTCACCCTAAAGGGGAGGAAGCGGCGGCGGGGGCGCCTCGTCCCCATTTGTCCTCTTTTTCTGTTGGGGTATGATGGGTGTGGGCCACCCTGTGGCTTCTCTGGAGACAGATGATGGTGTGACTAGGCCTGCTCTTGCAGCTTCATCACCAGACCTGTCCTGGGAAATTAATGTAAAAGTTAGACAGTTTGCTACTGTTTCTCATGGACTTTACCATATAAATTCCTGTGGGCCAGCTGCAGGGTTGTGGATGCGGCCTCCGCGTCCCTGAGCCCGGCCTCCTTGCCTGCAGATGGGGTCATGGTGCGGCTTTCGGGGCCCGCGGGGGCAGGCGTGGGGAGGCAGTGTGGCGCAGAGAAGATGTATGCTCGCTTTGGTGCCTGGCTTCTTTATAAAAGGCAGGTGCAGTGACTGAATCTCATGATCCTTTCAAACAGTTATGGCTGTTCCAGCCTCTGTCCCATCGTCCCTGGCATGTGCGTTTAGAGTTGAGCAGGTCCAGTCTGTTTTTCAGCTTCTCGTTCTTTCTTCCCAGGCTCTCTGCCTCCCCTTAGTAGCACGCGTGTCTCCAGCGTGCCCGCGGGGTGGGGCTGCCCTGTTGACCAGGTCTCTGTGTCCTAGGTATGGTCCTCGTGCGCAGCGAGAACGGGCAGCTGTTAATGATCCCTCAGCAGGCACTGGCCCAGATGCAGGCGCAGGCCCACGCCCAGGCCCAGCCTCAGACCACCATGGCGCCCCGCCCTGCCACCCCCACAAGTGCCCCTCCCGTCCAGATCTCCACCGTACAGGTGAGTGCCCGCCGCTGCTGCCCCGGAGCCCGCCCGCGCTGGAGGTCTGGGGTCAGGACTGGCCGCATGAGGGGGCAGAGGACCAGCTGGAAGCTTCAAGGATGGTCGCGCAGGGCCCTGGTTTGTGGGACCAGCCTCCCGCCCCCGCCACTGTGCAGGAGGCAGGCATGGGGGTGACCGTGGGCAAGGTCCCACAGCGCTCTGTGCCTCAGTTTCTTCGCCTGCAAATGGAGATGTCACAGTGCGTGTAGGGTTGTTCCTGGGATTGGGCGGGCCTTAAAGTCCCAAGAACGGGAGCGGACGAGCGCTGAGCCTGGCTAGCGCTGCTCTTGTCAGGGAGGTGCGGGGACTTCACAGGGCGCCACAGGCCCTGACCGAGGTGGCGGTGGGCAGGCCTGTTCTGATGCCGGCTGCCAGGTCCCCAGCGTCCCCCTCTGCCACACGTTCTGCATTTCTGGTCCAGCATCATCACTGCTTTGGGCTGGTGCTGGCACATTGCCCGTTCTCTCCTGATGTGCTCCTGTCAGTGCTGTGATGCTGCCACTCCAGGCCTAGTAGCTGAAGTGGAGATGGGACAAGATCCCGAGAGAAGCTTTGCCTCCCATGACCTCAGCCATGACACACCCGCAGTGTAGACAGAGGGCGTGTGTGCTGGGAGGCTCAGCATGGTGCCTTCACGCTCTCGAGTGTTCTGTCAGGTGTGGGCAAGTACAAGCACGGTTGGCTTCACACCAGTGGTCGGCCTTCCAGACCCCAATCGGACGTCCCCTCCTCGGGGCTTGAGATGTCCTTCCGTCGGGGCCCAGACCTCCTACTCTGCCCCCTCCCACAGCTCTGTGACCAGGCACCACCCCGCCTTTGTCACTGTTGTAAGTTCTTGTCAACAAGACCACAGAAGTCAGCCCAGGACTGGCTTCCAGGTCCAGGCGCTCTCCGAGGGTGGTGTTCTGTAGACCTGCGGAAGGAGCCTGTAGATGAAAAGATTCTGAGGGTGCACTTTTGCCTTGGCAGTAAACGTTACGGCCGTGGCGGCTTCTCGACACTTGCAAATAGACCCACTGGATCCAGTAGTTACTCGTTTAAGGATTGATTTTGTGTAGAGTGGGTGGGTGGGGAATTGCCTTCACTTATAGCCCATTTTATGATTCTTAACTTATTTTTCAGGCTCCCGGGACACCTCTTATTGCCCGGCAGGTGACCCCAACCACCATAATTAAGCAAGTGTCTCAGGCCCAGACGACAGTACAGCCCACCACCACACTACAGCGCTCGCCCGGCGTGCAGGTAAGGCTGATGGGG